TGAGAAGTGGAGGTGTGGACCAGGGTGGAAATGATGGTGGTGGTGAGAAACTGAGGGAGTCCCCATACACACACACACACACACACACACACACACACACACACACACATTTTCTTTTTTAGAGACATGGTCTTGGTCTGTCATTGAGGTTGGAGTATAGTGGTGCGATCACAGCTCACTGTAACTTCAATTCTAGGACTCAAGTGATCCCCCTGCCTTAGCCTTCCAAGTAGCTAGGATTGCAGGAGTGCCCCACCATGCCTACCTAATTTTTAGATTTTTGTAGAGATGGGGGTGTCTCTGTGTTGCCCAGGGTGGTCTTGAACTCCTGGCCTCAAGCAGTCCTCCTGTCTGGGCCTCCTGAAGTGCTGGGATTACATGCCCAGCCTTCTGAATTTATTTTGAAAGTAGAATGAACAGGGTAGATCAGATGTGGAGGCTGAGAGAAGAAAGGCAAAGATGACTTCCACATCATCTGTGGAAAGTTGCTTGTGGGCGTGGGTCCAGGTCTGGAGTACACGTATTTGTCCAGAGAAACCTAGATTGAAAAGGAGGCTTTAGGTACCGAATTTTGAAAGGGCCCTTGAAAATCAGCACGAAAAGGTAGTTTTATAGGAAATAAAGCAATATGAAGTCTACAACACTTAAAGTAGAGTTATATTGTGATTCCAGTCCTCAAATATATTCCTGGAGTCCATTCCTTGCAGGAAAAGTGGTAACTTGTCCTAGACAAAGCCTACATGCTGATTACACATGACCCTGGGTTGAGTATTATATTTGTCACAGCTTTTTTGTTGGTGAAAATACTGTTTATATATTGAATGTGTTACTATAATTCCATTCTTATCTGCATGCTTTCTGAGAAACAAAGGAGAAGTTCTGCACACTGTATTTTTAGCTCAGTTCAACTTGATAAAAGACCCACTGTGTTAATTGTTGTCCAGTCTTTCAATAAAACAATTCTCTCTCTATTCTTTCTGTGAAATTTGGTAAAATATACTGGTATTTACATATATATTGTACAGTTATATGCCGTTTTGTTTTTCTCTCTCTTTTTTTTTGAGATAGTCTCTCTGTATAACTCTGTGTAGAATGCAGATATACTGGTATTTTATGTATATGTTGTACAGTTATAAGCTGTTTTGTTTTTCTCTCTCTCTCTTTTTTTTTGAGATAGTCTCTCTGTATAACTGTGTAGAGTGCAGTGGGGTGGTCGTAGCTCACTGCAACCTCAAACTCCTGGGCTCAAGTGATCCTCCTGCTTCAGCCTCCTCAGAGCTGGGACTACAGGCACATGCCACTGTGCTCAGCTGATTTTTCTATTTTTTTGTAGAGACAGGGTCTAGCTCTTGCTCAGGCTGCTCTTGAACTCCTGACCTCAAGTGATCCTCCTGCCTTGGCTGCTCTGAGTGCTAGGATTACAGGCGTGAGCCACTGGGTCTGGCCTTGTTTTTCTCTTTATGCTCTTGAAAATGATATAGGATTAAATTAAAATTGTAGATGACATTTAGAGGACATTCATCTGAGTTTGGTTAGGGGATCTGTAAGGCATGGTTCATGTACTTATGGGATCCATGATGTGGTAGGAGTACCTGAGATTTGTTGGCACATCTAAGAAAAGAGCCAAATGTGGTACTTTGACTCTTGCCAAGAAATAGAATTCGTATATTATGCTTTAGCATACTTTATTGATTAGTGAAGTTTCCTCCTTTTTTTTTTTTTTTTGAGACAGAGTCTCACTGTTGCCCAGGCTAGAGTGCTGTGGCGTCAGCCTAGCTCACAGCAACCTCAAACTCCTGGGCTCAAGGCATCCTCCTGCCTCAACCTCCCGGGTAGCTAGTACTATAGGCATGCACCACCATGCCTGGCTAATTTTTTCTATATGTTTTTAGTTAGCCAATTAATTTCTTTCTATTTTTAGTAGAGACGGGGTCTCACTCTTGCTTAGGCTGATTTTGAACTCCTGACCTTGAGCGATACTCCCGCCTTGGCCTCCCAGAGTGCTAGGGTTATAGGTGTGAGCCACCGCACCCATCCCCTCCCTTAGTTTAAAGACCAGATGGAATATTATCATACTTTCCAAATATTGAGTTTAAAAGAAGATAAAATGCCTATTTTTTTTAAATTAACATTTGCATAGTGCTTCACTCATTTAATACTGTGAACTACATTACATTACCTCAGTCTTAGGACACAAAAGCACAGTAATATTCACAGTCACAAAAAACATCTAAATATATTTCTTAATCTTTATATGTTTAGAGTATTAAAAAATACTAATATGTAGGTACTGATGCTGGTCCTTTATTGCAAATCCTATATTTTATTACAAGTGCTGCCCTTCCCCCTGTTTAATGTTTGGAAACATCCTGTTTCTTAGTTGGGTTAGAGGAAGTGAATTAGGTCTCAACCATTATTAATTCAGAAAGAAATATCCTTTGACATTATTTGAAAGCACTAATTCATTGACCGTGGAAGTAATGGTGGAGTTTATGGGCTTTAGAGGGTTCTGATGAGCTCAAATGCTCTCATTAATATTTTATCCTTATAAAAATCTTTTTTCACTTACAAGTGTAGGACTTTAAAATTTTTAAATAGGAAATACTTTTTCTGTTCGGGCTAATACAGTGTATATGTAAATATAAAGAATAAAATAAACAACTCTGTAGTACAGATCTAGAATTTAAGACATAGAAATTACCACCACTTTCTGAAGGTCCCACTATGCTCTCCGCAAAAGAGGTAACAGCAATATTGAATTTTTGCATTATTCTAAAGTATCTTTTATATATGTATGTATAACATATATATATGTATCTTTCATTTGCAAATGGAAATCTTTTAAATATTGTGGGTAAATTTAACTTGTTTGACAAAACTATTATATAAATAGTTCTTGAAAATTGTATTTTAATTTATTCATGTTAAAAAGATTTTTGTTGTTGATAAGAGATAGTTCTTTAAAAAGTAGCTTGGTTTTGAAGCTTTAATTTAGGGAAATTTACTAATTTCAGAAGCTTCAGAGATCTGGGAGAAGGGAATTTTGAGGAAGAGGAAAAGGATTTCATGTGAGAATCAGGAAGTTATCTCATTCATGTAGTTTTTTTTTTTTTTTTTCCTGGAGAAAATAGAACAAAGGGATAGGATCTGAGAACTAGTCCTTCCTTAAGTTGTTCTTGGCAGAATTGGTAGCTAAAAGGTTGAATGAAATAATGGCTTAAAATTTATGACAACAAATTTTCCATAGGCTGTGTTTATGGTAACCATGTTTTTAAGTGGTGAAGATGACTTCAGAGGGCATATGCCTATATTTTGACATTCTTATATCTTGACATTCTTACACTGTGCCACTGACACATGAATCTGGCTCATGCAGTATGACACTAATTACCATTTTCTTGGTAGCGTGTGTGTGGTCTTTTCTTTTTTAGGAAGTATGAACCTCATAGTTCCCACTTTTAAATGAATAAAGAGAATTTTAAACAATGCCTGTGGTATCATTTCAGTAGGATGACCATATACTTTTACATATACGTACGCATGTCCATAAAAATGCTTTAACTGCCTTTTCCTTGTAACACTGAGTGTAGGGAATAAGCATTTAAGTGATGGTGTCTTGGCTAAGAGTGTGAGTTCTGGAGCCAGACTCCACGTTCACATCCTAGATCTGCCACTAGCTAGCTCTGGAGCCATGGGTATGTTTAACCTCTCTATAATGATTTCTTTATTTGTAAAATGGGGATAATAAAAAACATCTTTCTCATTGTATGGTTGGAAGCATTAAATAGGTTAGTAGACAGAAAGTACTAGGGTCAGAGTAAGTGTTCCATGAATATTTGGAATTATTTAAATCTTGTATGTAGTATCCTTTGGTTAGAAGTACAGTTCTTTGCTTAGATTGCTATTTGTGTCTGGAGAGATGTTCTTTCTAGAACTATGTCTCCTCGTCACATGACTGTGCAGTGCGAGCCTTATTAATACCCTGTCAGCATTTGAGGTTAGAACATAAGTGTGTGACTATGCCCAGTGGAATCCAGCTAGAGAACTAAGCACTGTAGCAACTGTTGCTATTTGTGTCCTGAGCAGCAGCTGTCTGAGGGAGATTTATTTTTTAATCCTGATCTCACTGATGGCCTGGGATGTGGCCCAGCCTTAGAGAAGTGAATTGGTTGAGATGTCCAGTCTTTGACATTTTATGACCACATTATAAAGATTCCGTTCCATGTGAAATATAAGGAGCTAAATCTTTGTGTGTATGAGTAAGGAAGAGAGATTAAGCTTCAGCATTCACAGTCTGTCCCTGAAGTATAGTGTGACTGGATTAATTACACCAAAAAAATCACTTTTAATATGGGCAGTAAGACGTCATGCTTTTCAGCCAAAAAGTAATTTTGCTGTTTATAACATTCTACAGATGGTTTAGTAGTCTGTGATTCTACTATATACACATATATATGCATACATATATGTGATAACTTACATATTTGTTATTGTCATCTGTGAATTTCAGAAATAAGACTATCTTTGTAGTGATTTCTTCATTTCCAAATACTTTTCTGAGATAGTAAGATCTTTAAAAAAAGAGTTTGTTTCAAATTCAATAATTTTCTGGGTTTTATCTCTGATGTGTTGAAATATTTCAAACCTTATGAGATACTTTGATATAGTAATGTGGCCCACTTCCAAATTTTGGCTGCTAACTTACCTAAGGAAGATAAATGTTCAGTCTCAGAATATTTACTGAGCATCTACTTTATATCAGGCTCTGTTCTGAATACTGGTAATACCCAGTAAATGTTGTTGGTCTGATTTTTTCTCAAGTTCCACATGTAAATTATCTCTTAAAAGTGTGATTATGTATACAAATGTTTCTTGATTGCCCTGTTCAGATTTAGTGGTGTGAATTTTCTGATTTGGATGTTTTGAACATATAGCATCACATAATGTTTAAAGAACTCGTAGCTGAGCGGCTTATAAAGTTAAACATTTTCATCCTCTAGGTATTATCAACCCAAAGAACCCAAAGGAAGCTCCAAAGTCCTTCAGCTTCGACTACTCCTACTGGTCTCACACCTCGGTGAGTGCAGTCATGGTGCAGTGTGCCACCATCTCCTGACCCCCCTTTCCTTTCCTGTTTGTCTTTTCTCTTCACCAGAGCATATCCAAATCTTGCTTTTTAAGTGTGGTCTAGCATGATTTCATTTTTTGATATAGTGAATACTATCTGAAGAATAAAGTATTTTCTTTAATAAAATGTCTTGGTTGATGGAAAGTTTATGCACATACATATGCATACATGTAAAACCTATTTAATTTATACCAAATTTATAGTGAAGCTACACCACATTTATGCCAGTATAGACATCTCTTGAGGATGTATTTATCTATGTCTCAGGATTCTCATTATGAACAATATTGTACCTATGGATGTTAAGAAGTGTCAAATTAAAGATTGTTTATTATATTATCAATTTTAAGTTGTATTTTGAGGGAATGGCTGGCAAGATTGGGATGACTATGGTAAAATTACTTGTTCTTTAAAATTCTAGAAGAACAATGTGAGTTTTGAATATCTCGAGAAAACCTTCAGGTCCATGAGGAAAACAAAAGTTTCCCAGCATCTTCATGTAGAACGGGGCCCTTCACGGTACCCTTACTAAGCACAGAGCCTAAGCCTTGCTGCTTCTGGGGATTGTTCCCAAACTAGAGCTGCTTCTGCATCATACCTCTCTTTGTTATGTGTTTTTGTTTTTTCTGTTTTGTATTGGAGAATAGGAGATATTTTAAAGTATTGGCAAAGTATAATTGTCAAGGGAACGGCCTGTGAAAAGAATTGGAAGCATTCTTCACTGAAAGCCGTGTTTATTGAGAAATAGCCATGCTAGCTGGAGTGAGTTCAAACAAGTATTTTTATACGTAGGACTTGACCTTTGATCTTTTATTCCATTTTCTACTAAGAAAATCTTTTTGGAGCTCTCTCTGAATATAAAAGTGATACTTTTAATATTATAGAAAGCAAAATGTCATATAATCATGCCAGATAATTTCATGCAGATATTTTTATGTGTGGCTGACCTGGATGACTCTAATAGTACGTGTGTGTGTGTTTGTGTGTTTTTAGTAAGAAAAATAAACTATGTGTATGGGAGACTTAAAAAGTGTATAGTCAGTCAGGTACAGTGGTGCATACCTATAGTCCTAGCTACTCAGGACGTTGAGGCTGGATCACTTGAGCCCAGGACTGTGGTGCACCATGATAAGCACCAGTGACTAGCCATTGCATTTCAGCATGGGCAACATAGTGAGATCCCATTTATTAAAAAATATATATATATAGTATTTTTTAGGTGACTTATGATTCCAGACATTTTTGTTTATTATGGAAGCAATCAAATAAGTATAGAAAAAAATATGAATAAAATGCCATTTATTTCTCCTTTTAATCTTTATAGCCGGAAGATCCCTGTTTTGCATCTCAAAACCGTGTGTACAATGACATTGGAAAGGAAATGCTCTTACATGCCTTTGAGGGATACAATGTCTGTATTTTTGCCTATGGGCAGACTGGTGCTGGGAAATCTTATACAATGATGGGTAAACAAGAAGAAAGCCAGGCTGGCATCATTCCCCAGGTAAAAAACAAGACAATGAAAAACTTGTGTTTGTCATCACTCTTAATGTTAAGTGGCTTTTGCAATTATTTTTACTTGGCCTCATTTATTCAGAGACTGAATAAATGTGAAGCACAAAGATGAACAACCTGTCCCTTTGATTCAGAGAGGCTTACAGTTGAGGGGAAAAGATGAACATATATGCATGTCTGTCTTTAAAGGTGGGAAAGTCAATGTTCTGTGAAGATTTTGCCTATGTTATTCCTCCTCTTCCCCTAAACATGGCTTTCCTTCTAAGGAATTAATATTGAGGTACTGTTGTTGAGGGAGAATGAAGATTAGATGAGAAGAGTGTATTTAAAGTTTTACTTTCACAGTCATGCTTTGCTTAACGATAGGGATACATTCTGAAAAACGTGCCATGAGTCGTTAGGCAATTATGTCATTGTGCAAACATCATAGTATACTACACACCTAGGCTATGTGGTTTAGCCTGTTGCTCCTAGGCTACAAACCTGTACAACACACCACTGAATACTGTAGGCAATTGAAACACAATAAAAAGTATTTATGTATCTAAACATACCTAATCTAAGAAAAGGTACAGTAAAAATATGGTATAAAAGATAAAAAATGGTACTCCTGTATAGGGCAACTTACCATGACTGGAACTTGCAAGACTGGAAGTTGCTCTAGGAGAGTCAGTGAGTGAGGGAATGCATGTGAAGGCCTACGACATTATTGTGCGCTACTGCAGACTTTATAAACACTGTACACTTAGACTATGCCAAATTTATTAAAAAACTTTTCTTTCTTCACTAATAAATTATCCTTAGCTTATTGTAACTTTTTTACTTTATAAACTTTTAATTTTTTTTAACTTTTTGTCCTTTTTGTAGTAATAGTTTAAAACATATACACATTGTACAGTTGTGAAAAAATATTATTTTCTTTCTTTGTATCCTTATTCTATAAGCTTTTTTCTATTTTTAAATTAAGATTTTTTTTTCAAACTTTTTTGTTAAAAACTAAAACAAACATATACGTTAGCCTAGGCCTACGCAGGATCGCAATCATCAAGATGTCGATAGGCAATAGGAATTTTTCAGCTCAGCCATAATCATATGGGACCATTGTCATATATGTGGTCTGCAAGTGACTGAAACATTATTTTACTCAAAGCATTAATCGTACCTTGGTGTTTATGACATTCGTATTTTGAGAGAGAGAAGAGGGCCTCACAAATTCATTTTGCAATCATCGGTGACTTAGTACTCCTCTTATTTGTGCTATTCATGCCTCTCTCATTTTGCTTCCCTAGTTATGTGAAGAACTATTTGAGAAAATCAATGACAACTGTAATGAAGAAATGTCCTACTCTGTAGAGGTGAGTACAGCCATGAGTTGAAATCAGAGGCCCTTCAAACATTATTTTTAAATGGCTCCAAGTTATGATTGTGCTATAGATCACTTAACTATTCCCTCAATTTTGTACTTTTAAGCTATTTCTAAGTTTTGGTTATAATGAATAATGTAATTAAATCTGTGTTCATAGTCTATGTATTTATTTTTAGTTATTGCTTTTGTATATATCTTGGTTGTTAAATAATGCATTTGAATTGCCAAATGGCCATTTAGAAAGAAAGGTTATAACCAATTTTCAATTCTACTGGGAGAGCATAAGCACCCATTATGCTTTTGCCAACATTTAGTATTTTCATTTTTTAATCTTTGTTGATTTGATAAGGCAAAATTTCTCTTATTTAAATTTGAATTTCTTTGATTATTAGTGTGGCTGAACATCTTGTAAATTATGCATGGCATGTGCCTGTACATTTTGGGATTGCAGTGTTTTTCTTATTCATTTGTGTGAACTCGTGCCCTATAATATTGTTTATAATTATTTTTGTCAGGCATATGTTTAAAAAATATATATAATCAATTCTCCCCCCCTTATATAATTGCTTATAAACTTGGAAAATTGTTCTGTGTCCAGTGTTCACCCTGGCTCTTTCATGAAAAGGTTTATGGAGTTACTTTATATGGGTTAGTTTTATAAACATTCCCTTCTTTTTGTGTGTGCTTTATGAAGATATTGTTTCAAACACACACACACACAGAGGCCCTTTCTCTGTATTCAATTTCATTCATAGTAACTGAAATTATTAAAGTATTCCATTAACATGAGCCTGTTGTTCTGAAAATTTAAGCTTCTTTTTAAACAAACTCTAATTTGTTTTTTTTTTGGTTCTTTTTTTTTTTTTTGGTGTGTGTTTATATTTTCTGTAGGATTTACACAATTCCTAGTTGAGCCACTTGGTTGCTTTTGTTTTTTTTTCTTTATGTATAAAGTGTTGCACAGATTTATAAATTTTAAAATTCTGAATTGCGACTATCATATACCAAAAGAGGAATGTGCTGCTCTAAGAATATTTTATGTTAAAATGAATTTTCTAAATAGATTGTCTCATAACTATTCTTTTTTGAATCAGGTAATAGAATTTTTGAGCTTATAGATAATAAAAGAAGATGCCATTTTCTTTCACATTAGTCAGAGTTCCTAGGCTTACTTGGAGTAGAGCATAGATCTCTAGTGGACACTGCAGTTCCTTGCCACATTTGCTGGAATCTCTAACTGCCTCTCCCGCTTCTCTTCTTATTTACTCTACTCCACCACATTGGCTTTTTTGCTATTTCTAGAATACACCAGAAATGTTCTTGCCTCAGAGGCTTTACATTTACTTTTCCTTCTGCCTGACATGTTCTTCCGCCAGATATCTAAGTTTCTCCCATCCTTCAAGTCTGCTTAACCCTTTGTACTTGCTTGCTTTTTTCTTGATTCCTTTATTCTACTAGGGATTTAATTTTTTAAATACCCCAGATTTTACAAAGCGTGGCAGTAGAATAAAAAACTGGAGTTTCTTTTCATACAAACTTATTTATTTGGATTTTTTAATATTTCAAATTATTGATACATTCAAAGAGTAATTTTAATCTCTATAACTTTTCATGGTGTGATATTTTTTGAAACATTCACCCACATGAAGACCTGGTATACATTCACATGTTTTGCAAATATAAATCGTCTCTCTTCTTCCTCCTTTGATTTTTCTGTTAGAACAACACAATCTTGTGTTTTTTGTTAGGGTGAGGTGTGGTTATATGGAGCTTTCCATCTAAACGTTGCTCTAAGTTAGTGAATAATAATCTATCCCTGGAAGTTAGTGTACCATCTCTGCATTTACATTTTACTTGTCCTTTCATACCAATGAAAACAAGAAAAGATACTGGAAAAATAGACAAAATCCCCCCCACCACCACGGTGAAATTATGTGTCGAGTGTGGCTCGACATATAAGCTGCTACTGATGCTAACCGTGTTGAGTCACACTCGACATCCCAGTGCAAAGGGTTAAATCTCACCCTCTCAATGAGGCTTACCTTGACCATCTTTTTTAATAGTACAAATTGCCCTCTTACCCCCACACTCCTTATGTCCCTTGCGCTGCTCTATTTTCTGTTTTCCATAGTATTCTTGTTCTAACATAGTAAGTTGCCTATTTTTTATGTTTGTTGTTCATTTTCAGTCTCCTTTGCTAGATATGAGCTTACTAGGGCAGGGCTCTTTGTCCTGTTTTATTTAATGACATATGCCAAGTGCCCAGAACAGTGCCTGGAAGAGAATGAGCTTAGTGAATTGATTCTGCCAAGTAGGATCTGGAATGGTTGGTGTAGAAATAAAAGAAATAGTGATGGCTTTGGATGGATTCACATACCAGAGAATAAGGAATGGAGTACATGACCTTTACTCAGATTATTTGGGTCCTCTTAGTTTCTGACCTGTCTGAAAAGTGCTAAAAGATGTAATATCTTCCTGGGATTCAGGATTTTAAGTACAAGTTTAAGTACACAAGATTAAAGGCCGGGTGCTGTGGCTCACGCCTGTAATCCTAGCACTCTGGGAGGCCGAGGAGGGTGGATCATTTGAGCTCAGGAGTTCAAGCCCAGCCTGAGCAAGAGCGAGACCCCCGTCTATAGCAAATATAGAAAGAAGTTAATTGGACAGCTAAAAATATATAGAAAAAATTAGCCGGGCACGGTGGTACATGCCTGTAGTCCCAGCTACTCAGGAGGCTGAGGCAGAAGGACTGCTTGAGCCCAGGAGTTTGAGGTTGCTGTGAGCTAGGCTGACGCCATGGCACTCTAGCCTGGGCAACAGAGTGACACTCTGTCTCAAAAAAGAAAAAGAAAAAAAGAATGATTAAAGTATATCTCACTTTCTAGGATAACTTCAGAAAGGATATTTGTTCTGTTGGTTTACTCTCATAATAGATCTATTTCAGGGTTCTCAACCTTTTTAACTGATTTTAAAATACAGTATAAAAATATAGTCAGATCAGAGACTGAATGAAAATAAAAGACAGTAGAAATGGAGAGTAGGTTCTATTTCAGATACTCTGAAAATTTATCTGTAGAAACTTAAAGTTGAAATGCAGGAGTTATACTGTATGCTTGAATAACTCAGTGATACAGAAGGATCTGATTCCTGGGAAACCTCATAATGTAGCCCATTGTGGTGAATTTACCCCAGTTGAGAGCCTTGTTTGCTTAGAAGTCTGATTTTGTAGATACATCAGGAACAGAACCATCCTTCAAAGTCAGACTTGAGTAAAGCTCATTTGGCTGATGTTATAAAGCCAACATGTTGGTTTGTTATTTTCCCATGAGAAGTAACTATTACCCAGGCCAGAACACTCAGCATTTACAGGACTAGTGTATTATCTTTTTGTGGACAGGCCTCTGTTGGAACCCTGTTGTTGTTTGGTGAGCATAGAATTAGAGGAAGGGGTGTTGATTTGATAAATTAAATGTTTCATTGCCTCAGGTTAAGAAATGATAGCCTGATGCATTCATTGCCATGATGATGGGGTGGGAGTTCACAAAGTGTATACTCTGAAGCTTCCTCCTCTCCCACAAATTTTAGGTAGGTCCTGCCACCCCTTAGCTTCCGTGATGATCAACCCATACCCCTTCTAGTGGATATATTGTCCATAGTTGGTAACAGTGTGATCAGTCTTAAAGACTTAGAGTCACTGGTCTGTTTTTTCTGCCCTGCTCTGGAATATTGTTGTCATACCTTGGTTTTAACTTTTAATAGTAGTCTTATTTTCAAGCTCTTGGAGTAACCTCGATGTAAATCCCAATTACTGACGACAGTGTACATTTAAAAAAAATATTGATAACTGATTGCTACTCAAATATGTTTTTTTCCTAATGTAGGCAGCAGCCAGTATGTGCCAGAGATAAAACTGCTTATCTCTTCTATCCTGAGAAAGCCAGAGGGCTGGTTGTAACATATGCAGTATGCAGTCCATGAGTAATGTTAATGGAATAAAAGGTTCTGTAGAACCATGCTATTTCACTTTGTAAAGGTGGCTGATCTCTAATCATAGAGCTTTTAATAAGAAATATTTTTACGTATGTGATTTCTTTTTCTAGTCCTCTAACTTACTTTACTAATTTGTTCCTAGGTAAGCTACATGGAAATTTACTGTGAGAGAGTACGAGATTTGCTAAATCCAAAAAACAAGGGTAATTTGCGTGTGCGTGAACACCCTCTTCTTGGGCCCTATGTGGAGGATCTATCGAAGTTGGCAGTCACTTCTTACACAGACATTGCTGACCTCATGGATGCTGGGAACAAGGCCAGGTATGGTAGGAAATAGACTAATGACTGAGGTCTTTGGCACATTTTGAGGCCCTTTTTGCTGGTTAAGGATTTGAGGTCATTTTTATAGCTATGAAGGTTGCTTTAATTGAGGAGTCCTCTAGTCCTTTGGCTATGCTGCAGAAGTGAGGGCTTCAGCATATTAGGTATCTTTCTTCTCATCAAAATAATGCATTGCTGAAACATGTCAGAACTTTGGTTAAGTTTTATTCTTCAGTTTTGATAAAGTCATAGTAAAATACAGATATAAGTATATATATTATATATATATTTATGTGTACATAAGTGGCTATGGTAGTAATTGATTCTGGTATAAGCACCAAAAAGAATAAAAATTACGTGCATCAGTGGTTTCTAAAGTAAAAGCTGGAATACGAAAAATGATTCTGATAGGGTGCCTTTGGAGTTGGAAGGTAACTAGATAGACTCACAAATAAGGCATTATTGAGAGCAATTGTGTAAATGACAATCTTGTCATCTGTGAATAAGTTTAAGACTATTGCTTATGATTGTTATGCTTATAATGTAGAGTCTGTTGTCCATTCAGTTTTACTCTCATCTAAGAATTCCATTGTCACATTGTCATCTTTCTGTTTATTTAGGACAGTGGCAGCTACCAACATGAATGAAACAAGTAGCCGTTCCCATGCTGTGTTTACCATTGTTTTCACCCAGAAGAAACATGATGCTGAGACCAACCTTTCCACTGAGAAGGTAGGGGTTATTTTTGAATGGAAAGGATTGAATTCTATTTATGCTCCTTAATTTAGCTATTTCTTGACACATTGACTGCCATACTAGAAAAATGTTTCCAGGGGGAGCCGACTTTGTTGGTGGGGCTGCCAGCACCTTTCCGGTCACCTCTGGGATAGTAGCTGTCACAATGGGGCAGATGAGAAGGGCTGCTCGTCTTCTTTACCGCTCCATGACGAAATGCCTGGGTTGTGCAGATACACTGCGTAGCCACGCCCATCAGTAGCTCTTATTTTGGGGGTAGGGCTTATATTGCACAAATGCTTAGAAATCCTGCTAGGGCTTATTTTATGGGTAGGTCTTATTTTTGGGGAAACACGGTAACTGGGAGTACAGGCATGCACCACCATGTCCACTGTGTATGCTCTTTAAATTGACTATGATATTTGTTGTCTTTATCTTCTTGTGCCGTATTTAATAAGAACTCTAATATATCCATTTTGTTTTTTTTAAGAGCTCTAATATTTTGTCTTTGCCATACCTTAATCTTTTTTTTTTTTTTTTTTTTTTAAAGAGACAGGGTTTTGCTTTGTCACCCAAGCTGGAGTGCAGTGATGCAAACATAACTCACTGCAATCTCCAACTCCTGAGTTCAGGCAATCCTTCCATCTTAGCCTCCCCAGTGGCTAGGACTGCAGGTGTACGCCACCATACCTGCCTAATTTTTAATTTTTTTTTTGTAGAGACAGGGTCCATACTTTAATCTTTTAAAAAATTTTCTGCCTATAAATGTTTTCTGCTTCTGCTTTGCTTATTTTGGAATTGCCCCCATGTTATTGTTCTTTATCAGGTCAGTAAAATCAGCTTGGTGGATCTAGCAGGAAGTGAAAGAGCTGATTCAACTGGTGCCAAAGGGACTCGATTAAAGGTACTTCTTTTACCAAATAAATGGCCTAGTCAAGAAATGTTCTGTAACATAGGTCAGCAAACTATGGCCTGTGGACCAAATCCAGCCCACTGCCTATTTTTGTAAATAAAGTTTTATTGAAGTACATCTCCATCCATTCCTTTATGTATTGTCTGTGGCTACTTTGGCACTGAAGTGGCAGAGTTGAGACAGAGACCATATGGCCCACAGAACCTAAAATGATTTTTATCTGACCCTTTATAGAAAAATTTTGCCAATTCATGATCTATAACTTCAGTGAAAGAATGAGTTATATCATAAAATAGTTGAGGACTTCATGGTAAGGTGAGAGTTGAATTGCATTTCTGAGGAAGAAGCAGAATTTGTCAGAATGGAAGTAAGAGATAGTAATGGGAATAGGATATACAACATCTGGATGTTAGAACAAGCATGGACTTTGACATGCTTCTTCACAAGAGCAGAAATTTCATGTCGTTGAGTTGTGGGAAGAAAGCTGCATCTGTAAAGTTTTGGAGCATGAACATCGTGAAGATACTTTACGGCTGTTAGGACGTGGTCTAAACACGTTATCAGGTAGAGAAGAGGAAAGATTGAGGACTAGAGGTTTTTAGAACTTGTGGTCATAAATAAATGTGTTAGCATATGGCAAACGCATTTTATGTTGTATATGATGTGTCAGTAGTAGAAATTAATCATAATTCATTCATATTTGTTATTTATTTTTAGGAAGGAGCAAATATTAATAAGTCTCTTACAACTTTGGGCAAAGTCATTTCAGCCTTGGCAGAGGTGGTAAGTTTTATACTTTAGTATAAGGACAAATTTGTCTACTGAGCAAATACACTTGATGATATTTTATGATTGTTTATTAGGCTGTCCTTTTTTGGCTTTTTTATGTTATCTTGCCTTTCTCATTTTAGAACCTTTCAGATACTAAGTGTAACACATTTTGACTTTGTATTGCAAATAAAAGAGATTAAGGGGAATAAAAGTGTAAATATAGATTTGTAAAAGCTAGAGCAAAGACCTAGGTCTGACTAATTTTTTGAGCCTTATTTCATATAAGTGCTGTGCGCTGATTATGCCTCTGGAGCTATCTTATTTCATATCTCTCACAAAAATATTCTTTTCATATGCAATCTTTTCTAACTCGGGTACAGTATTTGTTGGGAGTATTTTCAGCAGTTTGGCTTTGGTGAATATTATTGATTTGGGGACCAACAATATTTTTTTTCAAATAGTTTCATTTTTTTCCTATTCCTTAACAGTGGAACACTAAAGCTAAAACAATTTTTGTATAAGGAACTTAATTATTTAGGTTAGAAGCTAAGGAAGTGGTAGTCATTTTGTGCTCTAATTTAGTGTAATACCTCACTTAAGTTACTGAAAAGAATGAAATATGCTGTCTTGTTCATCTCTGAGAAGCCATACCGTATGACTTAAAATTTAAACAAAATGTTATTTTCTATTTGGAGGCTTATCTTGTGTTCTTGTTCTTTCCTTTAAATGCTTTCATCTGTAGGATAACTGCACCAGCAAGGTACAGTGAAGATTGGTAGAGATGAATTAGCTATAGAGTTGACTGTTACAGTTTTAAATCCTCAGCAAGATGTGTGGAGGCATAAGTATGAATGGAACCTTCAAAAAACTTTCCGTCATTTGTTTTCTGGCTCTAGAATTTAGAATGGCTGTTTAGGGTGCCCATGAATCATGAGACTTCACACCAAAATTAATTTAGAAAATATAATATGCTTTGGAGAAGGAATTAAGAATAAAGGAACAAGAGAATTTGAGGATGCTTTTACATTGTGTTTTCTTATGCTGTTTCTCCTAGTGATCTATGGGACTCTCTTGACAGTTCCATAAACCATTTGAAAGGACAATAAATTAAATTTCTTTTTTTAAATTTTTTTTTTTTGAGACAGAGTCTCGATTTATTGCCCAGGCTAGAGTGAGTGTCATGGCGTCAGCCTAGCTCACGGCAACCTCAAACTCCTGGCTGGGCTCAAGCAATCCTACTGCCTCAGCCTGCTGAGTGGCGGGACTACAAGCATGCGTCGCCATGCTCAGCTACTTTTTTTTTCTATATATGTTAGTTGGCCAATTAATTTCTTTCTATTTATAGTAGAGACGGGGTCTCGCTCAGGTTGGTTTTGAACTCCTGACCTTGAGCAATCCGCCCGCCTCGGCCTCCCAGAGTGCTAGGATTACAGGAGTGAGCCACTGCGCCCGGCCTAAATTAAATTTCTTAAGGATACCATTCTAAAACATAGCTGGCTTCGTGAAATTACTAGCATATATTTTCTAAAACCTATGTGTATTATCTTACTTGTTTCCTACTGTGAAAGTTTATGGATAATTTAAAACATTAAAAAATTTTTTTCCTCTCTTTGGTTATACATAAAGTAAAGGCTGTAGAATCAAGTTAATCTTTAACTGCATCTCAAAAACATATACATTTTTACCCAGATACCGTAGATTTTTCTCTTCCTTATATTTCTATGCAAATACTCTAAAATATACTAGTACACTTTTGCATAAATAATATTTAGAACACCTAACAGTTTGTTATAAAGGAGTAAAATTGGGAATAGAGGCAGTATTTACATTGAAATATTTTATACTATTTTCAAATATATAGATTTGTTTATTCTTTCTACTTCTATAAAAATAATAAGTAATGCTCTTTTTCTGTTTTTCTGTGTTTATCTGAAAAAGTGCTTTAAATTCAGAATCTACCTGCTATTTGATTGCATATGTGTGAACATTCTTCAGCTATCTAATTTCAGTCCCAGAACCATGAAGACTGTTAAAAACTTAGTTGTCATTCTAACTTGTCCTGTCTGTTTGCTCATCTATTAACATCTATATCCATCATGGGAGAAGTTCACAAAGTATTTCTCTATGAATATTCCATACTGCTCTGTATCACAATAATTCACAAATGATTTTTTATAATCAGTTTTGCAAAATCCAGTTTAGTATTGTGCATGTATGTTAGTTTTTGTATAACAAGCATAATTTTTGGTGAATTAGATGTGTTGTTATTTCCACTGGGGAGAGAATCAGGCTTATTACCATCCACACTGAACAGTATTTCTTTTTAGAGAGGTTTATGATCCAAGTAATGCTTTTTATGTAACTCCTGAAGCACTAATTTTCAAAAAATGTACAGATGTGAGAACAGATAAGATGAATTCAATAAGAGCAAATAGAAAAGAAATGGCTAAAATTTGGGGTTATTTTTGAATGGAAAGGATTGAATTCTATTTATGTTCCTTAATTTAGCTGTTTCTTAACACATTGACTGCCACACTAGAAAAAAATTTTTTTCCCTTGGGGCCACAGTGTTTTATTATGAAAACAGAATGAAAACTTTGAAAACAAAATGATCCTTTTTTAATTTAATGAAAAATTTGTTTTTTTAATCATTTCTGTGTTTTTTTTTCAATAAAAAAGTAATATAAAAACTTGAAAATTAGTAATGTAAAAAGTAACATGAAAACTTGAAAAATAGTTCATATGGGTAAAGTGTTTTTCTTGACTTGTCAGGCTTAGGTGTAATTTAAAGGTAAACATAAATAGAAAAATGAAATTTATTGACTTCTATTCATTTAATCCATGTTTTTAGAATTAAGTAGTCAATATTAATTGTAACAATAAGAACATCAACATGTAAGATTTTCACAAACCAACTGTAGGGTTTTACCCAGGGGGCCACCCATCACATAACATGTATGCTAGCTACAGCATGGCAGCGTGAGTTGTCTGCATACTCCACAGCTCCCACGGTAAAGAGATATGTGAGTTATATACGCTTCGTGAGGCCCCAGGCTCAAAACTAGTGTGCATCAAATACAACTCACATGGCAGTTAATGTGTTAATTTAGTCTAATTGGCAGAAATGAAAATAGACTATTTTTGGCAAACCGATACTGCTTATTTTTACTTTGGTTATAGCTGGTGTAACATACTTTAAACCTTACAGCATTTTAGTACTAGCCATGGGCAAAGTATAGTATGTTCAGGATACAAGAGGATAAACTGAAGTCTTAGGCCTCAAGGATTTTGTAGTGGAATGAAAGTTTGTTCCACTAATATGTGAATGACTGAAAAGGCTTAATTCTCTCTAGAGGTCTGTGCAGTTTAAAATTGAACCTGCTATTGGAAATGACTTTCTAATTGGTGGAATGTGCATCTGTGGGTAGAGTGGGTTGGGAAGGCATGAGCCTTTTTGATAAGAGATGAAATTAAAATACCACTTGCCTACTCCCTTTCCTCCTCAACAAACCAGAGGTCAGCCACTTAGAACTCTTTTTCATAATACCTCTGCTTGTGTAAATAGTAGATTATCCTTAGTTTAACCTTGGGTTATACCAGGAACAGATTGTAAAACTATGGATTGCTGGGGTGATGTTTATCAGTAAACCCTGGCTTTTGCATTAGTAGCTTCTTAAAGCATCACAATATAGTAGTCAGCCAGCAGATTTGAGTAGCAGTTATCTGCAAAGCATTTGCATTGAATTTTACTTTAAGGGAATATATAAAGTCATTAGATATAAAATGTCCAATTTTGAATCAAAAGTTTATTATATCTCAAACAAGAAGCAGAACAATTAAACTATGTGCCTAGGACATGATTTTGCCATCTTAGCTTGTTTTATGCCAGCAGCGAAGAAACCTGGAGAGTGAGTGGAGATAAAATCGTGAAAGGTATTTTCTATAGCTTGTTGAGAAATGAATATTTTTCCTTGAAAGAAGTGGTCCAAAGCCTGGAAGCAGTGGTAGTCAGTTGGTGCAAGATCTGGTGAATACAGTGGATGACACAGAGTTTCTAAGTCCAGCCTCTCAGTAGTTTGAGCAGCATTGTTTGTGCAACATGTGGTCGAGTGTTGTCTCACAAGAGGATTGGCTTGTCTCTGTTGAGCAATCTTGGCTACTTAATTGCAAGCATCCTCATCATGTCATTCAATTAGTAGTAGTAGACATCTGCTGTAATTGTTTGACTAGGTTTCATGAGTCTGTAGTGGAGAATAACAGTGTTGGACCATCAAATAGCTACCATTAGCTTTTTTTTTGATGAATATTTGGTTTTGGACTGTGTTTTGGCATTTCATCTTTGCCAGCCATTGTGCTGAAGGCTTGCAATAGTCAAAAAGAATCCATTTTTTCATGACATGTAACAATACGGTGTGGAAATGGTTCACCTTTATGTCGTGACAGCAAAGCAAGCTTCAAGATGATTTCTCTTCTGACAGTCGTTTAATTCATATGGAACCTATCTATCCAGCTTCTTTACCTTCTCGGTTTGTTTCAAATGGTCCAGTATTGTTGGGCTAGTAACCTCAAACCTTGCTGGTAATTCACACATAGGTTGAAATGGATTCACTTCCACTACAGCTGTCAGCTTATCATTATGCACCTTGATCTCAGGTCACCTGCATGGCTCATTTTCAAGATTAAAGTCACCAGAATGGAACTTCTCAAACCATTGATGTACTATGTGTTCATTAGCTACATCCTTCCCAAATAGTTAGTTGATATTTTGAGTTGTCTGGGCTGCAGTGGTTCTGCGACAGAACTCATATTTGAAAATAACATGAATTTTCGACTTATCCATGGTTTCACAAAAATTGTTCTAAAAAAAAATTTGAATGATAATCACAAGCCAAACCATGCATTTGAAAGCATGAGTATGTACCTTCACAGTAAAAAAAAAAGTGAGAGTGTCAAAGCGAAATGTCAGATATATCAACTATCAAACTTAGTACTTAAGGAAATTGGACATTTCATACTTAATAACCTAATAATTTTTTCCATTTCTGCATTGCCTTTTTATTGGTGCTTTTTGCTTTATCCTGTTATAATGAGAAAGATCATGAAGAGAACATTATATGCATATTTAACAGAAAATTTATCTTGTAATCTTTAATTTCTGAATTAGCAATCATATCACTTTCTTAGATCTTTTAACTTTTAGCTCTTGCTCTAATGGCCTTTTTGTCATAATTTTCTTTCAAAGAAACCAAGTGAGCATTACTTTACAAAAGTTACTAGATAGGCAAAAATCCCCTTGGTGATTTGGTGATTGCCCATGTAAATGCATTAATTAAATGACTTGCTCCTGTGTATCCAACCTGGAATGCACTGGATTCATATTTGCCCCTCTGCAAAAATAATAATTGAGGACTGAGTATTAGATGATATTAAGGAATTATTTTTAATTTTGTTAAGTGTGGTAATGGTCTTGTCATTATATTTTTTAAAAACATGATTTTCTTTTTCTCTGTTAGAGATATGTACCTGAAATATTTATTGGTGAAGTGTTGGATTTATTTTAAAACACAGCTATTTAAAAAAATGTCATATGGACAGGATATTAGATAATAGTATTGCACCGATGTTAAATTTATTGAATTTAATCATGGTTTCCTGTGTAAGAGAATGTCCTTATCTGCTGAAATGTTTAGGGTAAATGGGCATGATGTTTGCAACTTACTCATGATTCAGGGCCCAGTGCGGTGGCTCATGCCTGTATTGCCAGCATTATGGGAAGCCTGATTAGGAGGATAACTTGAGCCCAGGATTTTGAGGTTGCAGTAAGCTATGATTATGCCACTACATTCCAGCCTGGGCAATATAGCAAGACCGTATCTTGAAAAAAAGATTCAGAGAAAAGAAAAATAATAGAAAAGTGTTTGGGCATTAATGAGGATGATTGGTTAAAGCTGCGTGATGGGTATATGGTAGCTCATTATACTACTCTCTCAACTGTTGTGTGTTATAAATTTTTCAAAATATAAAAAAGAAAAAAAATATTGCATTGGCTTTGAGTATTGTGAAGAATTGAAACTGTGAATGATAAATTGTAATATTGATGGGATTCTACTATAATTTATTTGTTTGGGAATTTTAGACTGGTTTTCCTTTCATGTGAATCCCCCCCACCCCCACCCCCTGACAATGCTAAAAGCCATTCCTTTTTCTTTAATAGAGTAAAAAGAAGAAGAAAACTGACTTTATTCCTTACAGAGATTCTGTACTTACTTGGCTCCTTCGAGAAAATCTAGGTATGTTGACTACTGGTGAAAATTAACTTGGTAATTATTTTTTCAAAACTGTTTACTGATTATCTTCTGTAATTAATTGTCCTGTGTCTGTTTTGGAGAAGAATAATCTCTAGGTACTCATGTTACTAACTTGAGTGCTTGTTGTGTGTTTTCATTTTTACTCCTGATTTAGCTGGTTGGATTCGCTCACTTTTAAACCAGGGTGCCTTCCCATATGTCATTTACTTCAGGGGATGAACTGTGTAGTAATTGTCTTCCTGACTCCCCACACCTGCTTTAAACTACTACTCCTTTGAAGTCTTTCAAAACCCCATGCTCCTCGGAGGACATGACATGTTGTCAATCCTTACTCCCCCTTATTGCTGATGTTTTCAGACCTTCAGGTCATTGTTCTTCATTCACTGCACCTTCTTATGAAGAAGGGAGGGAGTGACCAGCTATGTCAAATGTTGCCCATAGAAGGAAGAGGCTGAAAATGGACTTTTGGGCTTATCCCCATTGACAGAAACTTTCCAGTTGCTAAGGGCAATTTTGGTAGAGTGGCTGAGATCTTAATTGGAGTGGATTTAAGACAGAGTGGGAGGATAAGAACTGGACCCAGTAGCATGGGGACATTTAAGAAATTTGTCTTTTAATTAAATCTTAGCATCTGAGATTGTGCCATCAGATTTGAAACCTTTAATAAAGTTCTTTTGAAATGAGTGTAATTTGAGATATTTGTGATTCATCTTTTTAGGTGGCAATTCTCGGACTGCAATGGTTGCTGCTCTGAGCCCAGCAGATATCAACTATGATGAAACTTTGAGCACTCTGAGGTACTCTCATTTGATCTCAATAGCTACATTGACTACATTGTCATCATAAGTCATTTTTTTATACCATGGATTTTCTGATACTGTGTGGGTAGTTATTTATGCATATAATGATCTCATCCTCTCATAACAGAGAACACTTAGAGAAACAATGATTTGTATTATCATGGAATTTACTTGTTTATGATTTTCAGTTTCATTGGGAAAAGCAAGAACTTTTTTCTTAGGAAAGATGTTAAAATTGCTGGAGTGAGGTTTTTGGATAACTTTCAGATAATAGTAAAAATTTCTTATATATATTTCTATAAAAAGTGTATCCTTGTGATATTTGTCATTATAGAAATGCTGAAGTCATAAGAAGTAATAAAATTATAGGTACATGTACCATTAAAAATTACCAACAGAATGTTCACTAAAAGAATATTAATATCTGTATAAGTTCCATTACTTTAATCTGGAACTCTCTATCCTCCTTTCATTAAAGACACTTGATATAATGGAAGAAACACGCTATAGTCTGACAAATTGGGTTTGAGTCCTTTCTCTGGTATTTATTTCCATTGTGATTGTGGGCAAATCACTTAAATTCATCTGAGCCTTTTCCCTCATCTTTATAAGGTATTATAAACACTTATACAAATGTATTATTTTATCAGGGCTCATAAAATATATAAATACTCACTCAGGATGTTTGATTTAGAAATAAGCATGTTACTTATGAGAAGTAGAACATCTGAGAAATGAATTTTCTTTTTGGATCTAGATATGCAGATCGTGCAAAGCAAATTAAATGCAATGCTGTTATCAATGAGGACCCCAATGCCAAACTGGTCCGTGAATTAAAGGAGGAGGTGACACGGCTCAAGGACCTTCTTCGTGCTCAGGGGCTGGGAGATATTATTGACAGTAAGTGAATTAAGGATCAACAGAATCTAATCTTTTCTCCTTCAGGGTTCTTACATTTGAAATAAACTTCAATTTAAGGAACTTGATGAAGCTACATAGTAGTGGAAAAAAATTTTTTCCTTTAAAAACCTAATGGAATCGGATTCGCATTGGCACATGAAAAAAAAAAAAAACCAATGGAAATGATCTATTGATTCCTTTATGTAGTATATACTAGGCTATCCATTTAAACTCATGAAATGAGTTTCTAAAACATGAATATGTCACCACTTATATTTTTATTACAATTCTGTTTTTCATCAGCAATGAAGTTTATTTGTAATGTTAAACTTATTATCACTAAGAAATTAATCACATCATTAAAATGTTACCTGAAGTTTTTGTTTTATGGGTTACTCTGAATTAGTGTAATGGCAGTAATAGATGTGTAAGAAACCTCTCATTCAAGTCTACTTTTAGATAAGATTCCTCCTCCTGTAAAATTATTGACTGTCCTCTGCTCTCTATGGATATATGAAGGGGAAGAGTCCAATTTATCCCATCCAAGTGCTAACCAGTTCCATTCTGACCCTGCTTAGCTTTCAGACAAGATCGGGGGTGTTCAGGGTGGTATGGCCATAGACCCAATTTCTATCAAGTTCAGGAATTAGACTTCTAGAGAGTATTATTTTATAATGTTGTCTCAAAATACATCTTTTAAAAATCTCAGTAATCTGCCTATATAATGGCTTCATCAGAAGTTCTCTTAAGTGAGTTCAAGAGATTTTTCAAATAGAATGGAATATGGTAGAATATGGATTTGTTTAATAAATGACATTTTTATTTTTTGAATGTAAAAGTAATATTATATTCCTTGAAATTCTAGTAAGATTTTGAAGGCCTCTTCTGGCTTACTTCTTACTGATTAGAGGCTGAGTTTAGATGAATACAGTTTTATAAAAATGGCAATATATTCTAAATGTTAACTTTCTTCCCAAATGCCAAATACTGCTCTGTTCCCTCTTTGTGTCACTGCTGAACCTAAACTTTGACCCTTCTTGTATTTTCCCTCCTGCCTACCTTCAGTTGATCCGTTGATCGATGATTACTCTGGAAGTGGAGGCAAATGTGTGTATTTCGTGTATTGGTTATTTCCAGTACTCTGACTTGCTAACTTGCCTCTGCTGGATCAGCCTTAAAATGAGCTTTGCATGCTGGCAATCCTAACAAGGAAATCCCAGACAGAGCAAAGTGTAGAATCAGAAATGATCCTATTTTTGTCCTTCTTAATTTAGCAATGCATCTTTGCTGGATTTCAGTTAATGGCTTGAGTGAAGTTGAGAGGCTTAAGAATCTCTTGTTGCTTCTGCTCTTCAGTTTCCCCCCATGTGATGATTAAATTACATCCCACATCATAGATGATGATAACAATGATAACAGCTAACATTTATTGAGTGCTTATAATATGCCAGGCCCTGTTTTAGGCACCTTGAATGTATTATCTCTTTTAATATTGTTAATGACTTAAAAAGTTCCATTATGCTTTTTTTACCAGTAGCCTGGGTGGTTTGCTTGTCTAAGATCCCACAGTTTCTATAATATGTGGTTGGTTTGGGTGGTGTGGTTTGGAGCCCTTGCTTTTAATCATTATTACACTAACACTTGTTTTTCTGCCTCTTGAATTGCTCCCTTCAGGGTCTGATTATTTAATATAAAAATCCTTTTTAATCAGCATTGTAAATCTGAGGCTTTGTATACATAATGAAAAACAATTGAGTTGGCCAAACTCTGAATGAGGAGCTTTGCAAATGTTGGGCTAACACTTGCCTGTGCTTATGCTAAGTTGATTTTATTCATATCTTGGGCCTCAGCTTGCTTGATGGTTAGATAAACATTTTTCCCCCTTTTCATAAATTACTAATTAAATTTTTTGAAAACTGAGGGTCTAAAATATACTTGAAATGAGGAGAGTTTATAAGGGATCATGTGAACCTCATTATTTTCTCCATATAGCTCATTAAGTTGATGAGGAAATAATTTTTACCCTTTTTAAGGTAATTCATCAAGGAATTGTTATCTTAAAAGAAATGAAGAATCTTGATTTCAAGGTTAATTTTTAGATTCTTATTGATTTGTTTATTTTTACAGAAAGGCGTGTAATGAGGCTTAGTAGACAGTGAGGAAATACATAGGAGAAACCCAATATAGGCTGGCTGTTAGAAGGTTAGGCCTTGAAGGCATTACAATGTCCTAATACAGAAGTGACTCTTGGACTGGAACAGCTCTGTCTGAGATTTCCAATGCGGAACAAAACCGGTGTGGAAAAGATGCCTTCTTGTTCTTGCTATTGTGCTCAAGGTGTTCCTGCAAGCTTGTTGCCTACCTCTTTTCTGAGCAGCTGTGGCATTTCCTGAGAAACTATGCATGACCAAGTTTTAATTCTGTATCTGTGAAGAAAAGCAGCCTTGATTTCTTTTCAGTTTCCATTTTGATCTAATTCTCTTAATTCCTTTTAGGGTTTGCATGTGTCCGTGGGACCTTTTAAACTCCATCCATCCTGGTCTTTCCCACCTGCTGCTGTTACCTGGTGGCTAATTTTTTGCACCAGTTCCTACTACCTTTTTAAAACATGCCTCTTTGCTTGTTTCCCTATGTTCTGTATTTGCAGATGGTGGTTTTCAAACTGTCTTAAAGCAACCACTGGCTTTAAGGGGCTTCAAACCCTGGCTTCCATTAAATATTAGAGATGAGTAGACCCAGAGAGAATTAATAATGTTTTCTCCAGCTATTTATATTAACTCAGCTCCTTTAAGGAAAACTTACTTAGTTTTGATATGAATTTTAAGCAATATTGGTATTCTCAAATTTAAAAATGAGCTGATTTTAAAATTGGAATTCACCAAATCACTGGCATCTATTTAAGAAGGATGACTACTGAAAGTACCAAAGTACTATTTTTTACCAATAGTAAATTTAAAAGTAAAAGTTACAGTAAATGAAAATATGTCCCAAAAACTTGCATTTCATACAAAACACAGGGTTACCAGTGACCCATGATTGTACTGTTAGGTAAAGTAAGGGTCTTACTTAAATTAGCAAATAATCAGATTTATTTTTCGCTTGCTCTGTAGATGAATGGAAAATACACTAAAACTCATTAATTTGCTAGTTCTTCCCTATTGAGGCAATCAGTTGGTCCTGATCTCTTAACTAGGGCTTGCACAAAATCCCTGTCATTTCTACAATTACCTCTCCTTTTTATTTAAGGCATATTTTTAAAATCCTTTTAGCATATTGAAATGTTGTTACACAAAGGACACTATGGCGTGCTTAGATTTTTGTTTTAACTATAACATTTCTTGGAATTTTTTGCTGAATTTCATAGAACGCTGGGCCAGGCTGATATGGATTATTATTGATAAATAAATGATAATTATTTTTCCCTTACTATTACAAACTACTGGAATTTAAGAGTAGCGTAAATCTGAAGGCATTGTAGACTTGGAACAATAGAAAGAATAGAAGGAATATAGCTGGGTGCAGTGGCTCACGCCTGTAATCCTTGTACTTTGGTAGGCTTTAGTGGGAGGATCACTTGAGGCCAGGAGTTAGGTCCAGCCTGAGCAGCATAGTGAGACCTTCATCTCTACAGAAAATAGAGAAATTAGCCGGGTGTGGTGGTGTGCGCCTGTAGTCCCAGCTGTTGGGGGAGGCTGAGGCAGGGAGGATCACTTGAGCCCAGGAGTTTGAGGTTGCTGTGAGCCACTGTATTCTAGCCCAGGCAACAGAATGAGACCGTGTCCCAAGAAAAGAAAGAATAGAAGGAATATAGTTTGACTGTTTAGGGAAACTGCCTAAGCAGCATCCTGTAAGGCTCTGGTTATCTCCTACCAGATACAATGTTAACCTGTATTGGAATTTTTAAGTTTCTAAATGCAGAAATGACTCTTAACCTCTAGGATACCATTATTAAAGAGACATGTTTTAGAACTGCCATCTAAAACAATTATAATCTGTCTTTGTATTATAGTGTGTCTTCGTCTTGGCGCTTCAATGCTGTCCTTTCTTACACCGATGTTCCTTCCTGTCTTTTTTTCTTCCTCTGCTCCTTTCCCTCTTTCCCTCTTTTTCTGCCTTCCCTTTTTTCTATCTCCCAGATCTGAAAGATTTTCAGAACAATAAGCATAGGTACTTGCTAGCCTCTGAGAATCAACGCCCTGGCCATTTTTCCACAGCATCCATGGGGTCCCTCACTTCATCCCCATCTTCCTGCTCACTCAGTAGTCAAGTGGGCTTGACGTCTGTGACCAGTATTCAGGAGAGGATCATGTCTACACCTGGAGGAGAGGAAGCCATTGAACGTCTAAAGGTAAGTAATAGTTCAGACTGGATGCAAGATATTCTGTCTGAATATCTTGGAGTCTGCCACAAGGCAGAACTAGGATTAAAATCACTAAGATTTTGGCTTAGCATATGGAGAACTTCCTAACTCTTACAGGTGTACTGAAAAAGAAATTTTCTGCTTTGTAAGTTAATTGGTTTCTTTTCACCAGAATGCTTGAGTCTGACATGGCTGGGCCTAGATGGGAGAGATGCATAGACAGGTCATAGGTTGGCCATGCACAGTAACTGATTAATAGATATGTATGTTAATTCTGGGGTAGTTTATAAGTCACAGTTAAATGTTTAGCTAGAAATTTAGTTGGAAGTAATTAGTTAGAAACATTTGATTTCATTTGAAGATGGGATTCTTTATAGGGCCATGCTTCTGTTAGTAAATTAAATATACAACTAAAAGAAAGATTGAACTTTCGAACTATACCATGTTTATTCAGATACACATTAAATTATATTTTCTGGAAGTTCGCAGAATACCCTGACACTCTATGATTACTGTATACGAAGGGTTGTCTCCTCCTGTGCTGGTGCACATGGAGTCCCAAGGCCAGAGTGCTGCATGTATGCAAATCTACCTGCCTGTGGCACCCAGCTTTGATGTTGGAGGTTTTTCCTAGCCTGTTGCTCTGCCAGATTCTGTCTTATCTCTTTCCATGAATATGAAAGTAATGAGCAGCAAAACCTTCTGACTCATAACTTCTTTCCTTCCCCCTCAATGCCTACATTGAGTAGACAGTTGTTGCGTGTGGTGCTGAGACAAGTTGTGCAGGAATCCTACCATCCATCAGATGACTGTGCTGGCATCATATGCTTTGAAGCAAATGTTTTTTATTCCCTTAGGAGTCATCTCCAGGATGATAGTTTGACCCATACCTCTTGGCCTTTGTTTTTTTTTTTTTGGTTTTTTTTTTTTGAGACAGAGTCTTGCTTTGTTGCCCAGGCTAGAGTGAGTGCTGTGGCGTCAGCCTAGCTCACAGCAATCTCAAACTCCTGGGCTCAAGCAATCCTCCTGCCTCAGCCTCCTGAGTAGCTGGGACTACAGGCATGCGCCACTATGCCCGGCTAATTTTTTCTATATATATTAGTTGGCCAATTAATTTCTTTCTATTTATAGTAGAGACAGGGTCTCGCTCTTGCTCAGGCTGGTTTCGAACTCCTGACCTCGAGCAATCCGCCCGCCTCGGCCTCCCAGAGTGCTAGGATTACAGGCGTGAGCCACCGCGCCTGGCCCCTCTTGGCCTTTGTATTCGAGAGTGCCAGGGTAAGAGACACAAGGAAGGCAAAGATGCTTTTTTTAAGAAACAGGGTCTCACACTGTTACTGAGGCTGGAGTGCAGTGGTGCAATCATAGGTCACTGCAGCTTCAAACTCCTCGGTTCAAATGAAGCAATCCTTCTGCCTCAGCCTCTGGAGTAGCTAGGATTATAGTCATGAGCCACTGTGCCTGGCCAAAGACACTTTTTAAGGATCTGGAAGTTACAGTCATGCAGCCAGCCCGTGGTCCTCTTCATGTTCTCTCAGTATCCATCTCGACTTCTGCTTATTGAAGGCAATTGAGAGCAGTGACACACTTTGACAAATGCAATGGTTGAAAAGCTTGCTGAACCTCTACAAGTGAATTAAACTTGATAGTTGGAGATATCAGATGCTTTTCATTTTGATTTTCTAGTGAGGCTGAAAAGATTTTATATGAAGAATGGGCTTCTGCTTTTTCTTTCTTAATGAGCCTATCTTTTCCCTTGGCATTTTACTCCAAAAATACTGTGCTTTAGAAAGAGGAAAAATTATCTTGTTTCTTTCTTCAGAACATGTTAGTAGAAAGTGAGTGTAGTTCTGCAATACCTGACAAAGAGAAGAGGGAGTGAGACATCTTTCTGTTAAATATTGTAAGCTGTGGGGTAATTTTTGCTTTTGGTAAAATTGACTTTAAAATGTTACTAAAGACCTTAGTGAAGATGTGTGGTTAAGGCTTCATTCACACATTTTCTCACAATAGGTGTCAGTGACCATGTTGCCATGCAGGGCTCTATTTAGAGTTAGGGTGGGAGATAGGGAGCTCCATAGGAATGAGAAGTGAAACCTCCCACTTATTGAGTATTTAATAGAAAATATCCTTTTTCTTTGGGATTTTGAATCTTATTGTTAATATTTGTTTATTAAAGCTTTAGTGCATAAATGAGATTATCCTTTCCTTTGACATTCATCGTGGTGTAAAGGAGAAATTTCTCCCTAACTGGCAAGTGGACCAACTGAAAATAATGTCAAGTGTTAGGAGTCAAGGCATTAACCAGACTCTTTAAGAATTAGGTCACTCAGTGTCTTCTAGATAGTTTCTAGGGAATAACATTGTCGTTATTCAGGGAACTCTCCCTCAACTTCTCTACGTCCTACTAAAAACTTACTGTTTTAACCAGCAAATAAATTCCTCTGTTTTAATTCTTCTTTACACCAACATAAATGAAATCTTTTATTTTCCCTTGCTTTACTCTAGAAAGGAAGTAGACTCTTTATGGTTTTGTGCTGTCTTCAGTTTTTAAAGCAGCACAGTAGTTCACTGAAGCAGGAGCGCCTTTGTTCTGCTCTTATTTTGTGAATGGCAGATAACATTTTGTATCCACAGTGTAGGGCAGTGGTTGTACAATAGAAATGCTTGAGAATGTCTAGGAGCTGGGTTCCTAAGGCATGACAGTGCAGGAGAAAAATATTGTAATGGACGACAGCAATAGAGGACGTGAATTAATTTTCCTAATATTTTATTCCCTTTTGCTTCTCTTTATTTTTTTTTTATTTATTTATTTTTTTTTTGCTCATTCCCTACAAATGAATTCTCTTTATTTTTGACTTAAGAAAAGATCAGTTGGTAGGATACTACTTTTACACAGTGTTGCTGCTGCTTTGTTCATTGAATAGCCAATTTCCATATGTAGAACACTTCTGTTACCCCATCATAAATATCTTTACCTGTCCACAAACCTCTCTGGCAAGAGTGAGTGATAAACAATTGCTTCAGTTTTAAGTCACAACTCAAACTGAGTTGAAATGTATGTATTGTTTTGACTTCCTGTCTGATAAGGTTTTAGACATGTAGCTTTAGTCACTGTTTGGTGGCTGTGGTGTCAAAGTCAGTACTATAAGTGCCATTGCTTAGACTTAGCCTATAAATATCCATTACAGAAACAGGCAAGGACAAATGTTGTGCCAAGCGGCCTGAGGGCCTCACACTTGGAACTCTTGAGAAGCATGCTGTGTTCAGTACAGTAAAACCTTGACTATCTGGTGGGTTCAAAGAATGTTCTGTGTGGTGTTTAACCTCTTAAGTATTACAACTTAAATTATAATCTTTTTCACGGAAATAATTCTGACTCACCCTGTGGATTTCTCTGCTTCCTTAACTGAATCATTAAGGAGAGATTAAATCATTTAGCTATATGAACACAATTTGTTAACCGGTACTGTACAAATAGCTAGAGTTGCAGACATGCATGATGTGAGACCAAAGAGTGAATGACGCCTGACCTCATTCCTTAGATCTTAAAAATTTGGGATTTTTTTTTTGGTGTAGTTCTTCAGGAAGGAAGATTAAAGATTTATCTCCTCAACTTCTCATTTCTGAACTGTGAATCCCCATTTCAATTTCATCTTACTCATAGAGTGGGTTATGGCCAGCCCTAGATACCAGTGTGCTGTGTCTTCCTGCAGAACAAGTTGATGATCTGTAACTGAATGCTGGCTTCCTATTGGCTTCTCTGTTTTACTTATACTAAGTTTGTTATTCAAGCTTGAACAGAATATCCTTCACTTTTTTTAAATTTTGGGTGAGCTGTTTCATAGAATATTTACTTGAAAGCCTATTGATTCTGTTATTTATGTGAAGAAGGAATAGTAAGAGTCAGCAAACTCAGCTCTAGACCTGGCTCAGGTTGTAATGTGTCCTCAGGTTAATCACTTAGCTTCTTTGGTCCTCAGTTTCCTTATCTTTTCCCATCACTGAAGTTTTGTTGGTGTGGCACTCAGTTACTATTTTCTCTAACCTTTCCTGAAATTTTTAGAAAATAGCTTTCTGGACAATACAAAGATTGCAACTTGAAGCTGTTATAAAAATACAAGTTGTACTGTACTCACTCAGAGTACTCATTAAATAGAGATCATGTTCTGATTTACCTTTCAGGTGGTTAGTAAAATTAGAGAGGTCATATTAGAGTTGGCAGCAATATGGTAGGAAGATTCCTAGACAGCAACTTTGGTCTCTTAGGGTGAGTTCTATAGTCTCTTCAAAATAAGATAGCTTTAATATGGCCAGATAAACCTCTGCTCTGAAATTATCTTTTTCTGAAGATAATCAACCAGGAAAATATATATGTTTTTTCTCTCTTTCACATAGGAAAAAAAGTATTTTAAAAATACTTCACACATTAGTTTGTATTCCATAAACAACATAAGTAGTTTGTGGGCCACACCATAAGTTCTGGTCTAGGTGCTTTGGTTTGGTCAGGTGTCTCCTGTTGTCCTGTTCTTTGTTTTCAAAGTCCTCACTTTGAGAGTATAAAAGTTTCTACCTAGCTATCTTTAATAAGCCTTGGAATCTCATAGGTTATAGTGTCAGCTTGTCTTCTACGTGCCCATTTAAAGTCATATGAAGAAGCACTTAACACTACTCTTGTTAGTTGTTGCATAACATTTCTGGTGCTTTATTGGTACCAGCCACACTTCCTTTCCTGGCCTTCTCACTCCTTGCCGTAGGTATGTGGATTAGTCTTGGTTGCAGTCCCCCCAGCGTGGTGCATTGGTTCCCCACTTAGCTGTGGAGTGGCATGTGCACTGTGCGGTAATCATCACTACTGAGCACTGTGTAGCAATGCCATTTGGGAGGCTGTTGTAGCCTTTCAGCCTGTGTGTGCTGAGGGTTAATGAGAGCCAATTCAGGTGTTTTTTTTTTTTTTTTCTTCTTACCTTCCCCACCCCCACCGTAGGCTGGTTCCAGCTTCTCCCACTTTGTAACCGGCTCTGCTCTTTTCTGAAAGACTACCTCCTACATGGCTGCCTTTACATAAATCTTACTGATGCCCATGCTATTTCTAACTTTTATCTGTTTTGCTTTTGTCTAGCTTTGTGATAGTTGTTCTTTTATTTATTTATTTTAATCATGCTCTCATATTTGTTCTCCTGTACTCCGCTTTGCAGCCTTGAGTCTTTACTCTTGGCTTTTTTACGTGCTCCCTTGTCTTTGGTATATTTTTTGTTTGAGGTAACATCCAATTATGGTATTATTCTGGAAGCCTAAGAGTTCCAGGAAACCAAACACCAGACATGTTGGGTTTATTGTATTATACTTCTCACAGTTCTTTCTTCCTTCTTTTTTTTTTACAGACAGGGTCTTGGTTTGTCACCCAGATTGGAGTGTAGTGTCATGATCATAGCTTACTGTACCCCCTGAACCTGGGCTCAAGTGATCCTCCTGTCTCAGCCACCTGAGTAGCTGGGACTATAGGCACATAATACCATGGCCAGCTAATTTTTATACATACGAGGTCTTGCTCTGTTGTCCAGTGTTGGTCTTGAACTCCTGGCCTCAACATTCCTCTCACCTTAGACTTTAAAAGTGCTAGGATTATAAGTGTGAGCTACTGCACCCAGCCACAAGTTCTTTCTATGTATAATTATGTGTGGAGATCAACAGAGCTTCTTAACAATGATCTAGTTTTTTTTAGGGACAAGGTCTACTCGTTACCCAGTGAGTGGAGTGGCGCCATCATAGCTCATGGCAGCATCAAACTCCTGGGGTCAAGCAATCCTCTTGCTTCAGCCTCAAAAGTACCTAGGACTCTAGGTGGCATTACCAAACCTAGCTATTTTTTTTTTTTTCAGGCAGTGTCTCACTCTGTTGCCAGAGCTAGAGTGCCATGGTATCAGCCTAGCTCACAGCAACCTTAAACTCCTGGGTCAAGCGATCTGAGGCAGATCCTCTGCCTCAGCTCCCGAGTAGCTGGGACTACAGGCGTGTGCCACCATGTCCGACTAATTTGTTGTATATATTTTTATTGGCCAGTTAATCTTCTTTCTTTTTTTTTTTTTTTTTTTTTTTTGAGACAGAGTCTCGCTTTGTTGCCCAGGCTAGAGTGAGTGCCGTGCGTCAGCCTAGCTCACAGCAACTCAAACTCCTGGGCTCAAGCGATCCTTCTGTCTCAGCTCCCAAGTAGCTGGGACTACAGGCATGTGCACACCATGCCGGCTAATTTTTTTTTCTATATTATTATTGGCCAATAGTTTTCTTCTATTTATAGTAGAGACGGGTCTCGCTCTTGCTCAGGCTGGTTTCGAACTCCTGACTCGAGCAATCCGCCCGCCTCGCCTCCCAGAGAGCTAGGATTACAGGCGTGAGCCACCGCGCCCGGCCAATTTCTTTCTATCTTTAGTAGAGATGGGGTCTTGCTCTTGCTCGGGCTGGTTTCGAACTCCTGACCTTGAGCAATCTGCCCGCCTTAGCCTCTGAGAGTGCTAGGATTACAAGTGTGAGCCACTGCATCCGGGCCCTAGCTAATTTCTTTTTTTTAAATTTTGTAATGTAATTTATTATCTATTTTTGTCTCACTGTGTTGCCCAGAGTGGTCTTGAACCCCTGGCGTTAAGATGCTTATCCTGTCTTGGCCTCCCAAAGCACTGGGATTACAGGGTGTGAGCCACCATGCTGGCCTGACCTATTATGTGAACTATTTGTGAACTGTAATACGTTTCCTTGTTAATCACTGTCACCATCACTGCAATCATTTCATCATCATCATTATCTGAATTTTTTATTTCATGACCAGCATTTTATCCTGCTTTTGCATAAGCTCATTCCCCTTTTTGGTATTCCTTTACCCTTCATTCTTTGCCTAGTCAGTTCCTACTTATCCTTTATTCTTCTGTCTGGGCATCACTCACTCCCTATTCACCTTCCAGAGACCTGTGAATACTCTAGTTCTAAGCACTTTGCATGCTATTCTGTTATCTCTTGCCTTAATCCTCAAACTTGCTGCTCTAGCAACATGATTTTTCCTGGACAACTTCAGACACTTTCCTACCTATTACCCCACATAACCACAAGGCAGCCCCTGCTCTTCCTTTGTCTCTGCTCACATATAAATAACCTGATTAGTGAGGCCTGTCCTGTTACTATATTTATATAATATAATAAAGAGCAAGTGATTGGTAAAATTGTCATTCAGTAGCTATATGCCTTCACATAAGGTTTAGTAATAAACCTTTTTATGTTGGCTATTGTGTTATATTTAAGAGGGTACTGTGTTACAGTGAAATTATGGTACAATAAGAGCAGTGAATCTCTTTCGGGACTTCATTCTTTTATAGAAGTGGTTGTCAGAAAAGTGTCTTGCATTTTGAGATGTTAATATTACCCTTCCTCTTTGTACACACACATACATGCAGACTCACTGTTAAGGTATTTTTATTAAAACCTGGAGGATTTATATGTCTGGGGCTAGTTTAATTTTGGGCCTAGTCTTTATGATTCTTACCTTATATATTAAAAAAGAAACCTCATGACATTAGATTCTGCCTTTGATCCTCAAAGGGCATAATCTGATTTTGCTTTCCTTGCTAGACATGGTGTGTTAGATTATGAGACTCTTGCCATGTTAACTGTGTACTTCCTTCCTTAGGAATCAGAGAAGATCATTGCTGAATTGAATGAAACCTGGGAAGAGAAACTTCGTAAAACAGAGGCTATCAGAATGGAGAGGTCAGGAGGTTAAAATCTGGGAATGTTTCTAAGTTTTCTAGGGAATTTGGATTCCTTTTATAATAAAAGCTAAAATCAAAGTTAAAAACAAAGAATCTGCCCTCCTAAAACATGAAGCAAAAAATAAACCTGGCTGAGGAGTTATGGCCAGTTGAATTTATACTTGAAGTAAAATCCACATATTTAAATGTTCTTCAGAAGTCATGTGCTTAATAATTACCATACATGTTGCTAGGGATCCATAAAAACTGGAACATACTAGGCTGGGCGTGGTGGCTCACACCTGTAATCCTGGCACTTTGGGAGAGTAGGGAGGGAGGATTGCTTGAGGCCAGGAGTAAGAGGTCAGCCTGAGCAAGAGCAAGACATGGTCTCTATAGAAAATGGAAAACTTAGCTGGGCATGATAGCGTGTGCCTGTAGTGTGCCTGGCCAGCTACTCAGGAGGCTGAGGTAGGAGGATCCCTTGAGCTGAGGAGTTTGAGGTTGCATTCAGCTATGATAAGGTCACTGTATTCCAGCCTGGGCAACAGAGTGAGATGCTGTCTAATAAAAAAAAAAAAAAAGGAAGAAAAACAGAAAAGAAAAAGAAAAAAGAAAAAAGGAGCTTATTGAGGGATAGTGTTTTTTATTTGCAAAAAGTAGACTGCCTTTAATAAAGGGCCAAATCCAAATAGCTATTCTGATTATTATCTTTGAGTTACCTTCTATAGAATCTCTTTGATAAGACGTGAAGTAGTTTGGATTGTAAACTTTAAAAATCCTTATTCTATTTTAACCTGTATCAATTTTCTACCTTGAAGATGTGCATAACCCAAAATGATACTTTGCTGTTGGAATAAATATACATTTTTAAAATGTCAGTTCCTGTCTTCTCCATCCATGGAGGATGAGGCAGAGGTGAATTCTAATGTATTGTTATAGTAAAAGTAGCAATCAATTAGAATTTCCTTATTTACTGTAGACAGTTTAAACTAGAATTATTGAACCAAAATGATGGTGGGCATGAGAACATTTGAGAAAATCACATTTGTAGACCATACTGCATAAAGCAAAATTACTTTCTGGTTGCTGTTCTGAAGAAATGGGAGTTTTTAATTTTTTTTTTTGGATTTTTTAATTTTTAAATTACACAGGGTCTTGCTCTGTTTTCCAGGCTAGAGTACAGTGATGTCATCATAGCTCTCTGCAACCTCAAACTTCTGGGCTCAAGTGATCTTCCTGCCCTAGCTTCCCAAGTAGGGAAGATGCCTACCACCACAATCAGCTAATTTTTTTTCTATTTTTTTAGAGATAGGGTCTTGCCATGTTGTTCAGACTGGTCTCAAACTCCTGGCCTCAGGTGATCCTCCTGCCTTGGTCTCCCAAAGTACTAGGATTATAGGCATGAACCATCACGCCCAGCCTAAGAAATGGTTTTTTTGAGTTGGATGTATAGCTTTAAGAAATATCCTCTTCTTTTTTATATTAATAGAGCATTTATGAATTATTGTCTGTCTTCAAAATTAGATGAGACAGAGTTCTTATCTGGGTGAATATAACTTTATCTAACATAGAATAATTTATTTTGAATGTTTCGTTTCTCTTAAAAATAATTTGTTATTAATGATGAGATAAGCACATTATTTCATGTTTGCATTACTGACTTTAGATTTGACCAACTCTTTTTGCATTGCGTGCTTTATTTTCCAGTTCATATTAGACTGATTTAATTGACATTTTGGTATTGGTATTCTGAGGTACTTGTTTTTTTCTAGAGAGGCCTTGTTGGCTGAGATGGGAGTTGCCATTCGGGAAGATGGAGGAACCCTAGGGGTTTTCTCACCTAAAAAGGTAAGGAAGCAATGTTGAGAAACTCAACCAAAGAGAGACATTTTCTGTTTCTCTTAGTTACTGGGGCGCCTCATGTCTTTCAGGGCTGGCCCTTTCCCTTCTCTCCTTTCATAGATCTTGATACTTGGCTTATTTCAGATATTTCTGATTCCATCTTACAGTATAGTCTTATAGTACAAAGGCAGCATATTTCTAAAATGCTTATCATGTTTACTGTTTACGAAAGAAAAAACCTAAGGCAGTAAATGTGTAACTTTTGGCCATGATTCAGTTTGTTTAGTCATCTTCATTGTTTTCTCTTAAATTCCCAACTTAACCCAGCATTCCTTGCTTCAGGTTTGGATACTCTTTCTATGTAGGTTTTCTAACAGAAGTCATTTACCTTGCTTTATAACTTTTTGGAACCAATTTCAGCTGTTCAGGTTTGTGTAGAATAATGCTGTTTCCATTTGCTTCTGTAATTTGTATTATAGATAACCTATGTACTGAGCAAAGCAATTCCTTTCCTTATCCTTCTAGACTCCTTTGCTCCCTTCTCAGTTTGTTTTTTAAAAAATGACTCCAATAGTCATTTACCTTCCTCCTTACATAATCATAGTTGTTAAGTAGTTAGGTGCCTTTTAGCTAATTAGAATAGTAAGGGTTTTTTTGTTTTGTTTTTTAGTAGGTTGTAGCTTGGTTATTGTTGGATACCAGAAAACTGTTAGCAAATGATTATTTTGTGTGCTTATATGTATGACAATGATAGTACATATACTGATGTACAAAACATATTGTATACCACTAAAAAATGGTTCTTCATTTCAGATGGCCTCAAGTTGGCCATTGGAGACTTAAACATCTTCATGCCTTAAGTTCTGATGATCTCTCTAGGTTAGGATACAAGGGATAGGGAGTTTTGTTTGTTTGTTTATTTATTTATATTTATATATATATTTTTAAATTATTAATAATTTTTTTTTTTTGAGACAGAGTCTCACTCTGTTACCATGACTAGAGTGCTGTGGCGTCAGCCTAGCTCACAGCAACCTCAAACTCCTGGGCTCAGGCAATCCTTCTGCCTCAGCCTCCCAGGTAGCTGGGACTACAGGCATGTGCCACTATGCCTGGCGAATTTTTTATATATGTTTTTAGTTGGCCAATTAATTTCTTTCCATTTTTAGTAGAGACGGGGTCTCACTCTTGCTCAGGCTGGTTTCGAACTCCTGACCTTGAGCAATCCACCCTTCTCGGCCTCCCAGAGTGCTAAGATTACAGGTGTGAGCCACCACGTCCGGCCAGGGTTGGGGAGTTTTGAATTGGTACTTTTGTTTTATGTAATAGGAAATAGTCTTGTGGTTTTTGCTAGGATTCTTTTGATTATGTTTTTCTATCATGATCAAATAACATTTAAAAAAATTCCAGTATATTTTGAACAGAAAAGATTGATTTAAAGACATTTTAGATAAATATCAAACTAGAACACCGAGTGTTTTATATGTTTATATTATGAAAGGTCAGTGATTTTTAATTTAATCATTTTTCCTTCAATAAGATATGTATTTAATCAGATATGTTTGGTTATAGAGATTTTAGCAATTATAGTTCGATAGAATTTAAATTGTGTCTGGGCCAGGTGCGGTGGCTCACGCCTGTAATCCTAGCACTCTGGGAGGCCTAGGCGGGTGGATTGCTTGAGGTCAGGAGTTCGAAACCAGCCTGAGCAAGAGCGAGACCCCGTCTCTACTATAAATAGAAAGAAATTAATTGGCCAACTAACATATAGAGAAAAAATAAGCCGGGCATGGTGGCGCATGCCTGTAGTCCCAGCTGCTCGGGAGGCTGAGGCAGGAGGATCGCTTGAGCCCAGGAGATTGAGGTTTTGAGGTTGCTGTGAACTAGACTGATTCCATGGCACTCACTCTAGCCTGGGCAACAAAGCGAGACTCTATCTCTAAATAAATAAATAAATAAATAAATAGTGTTTGTGCATGTATCTAAAAGTATTTTATAGCATCTTTTACTGTTAAAAACTGGAGAAATATTTTATCACAACTTGTGAAAATATTATGACATTTAACATGAATCATAAATAGCTTGAATATAAACAGCATGGAATTCTAAACTGTGATCTCTACTTTCAAAGCTTTTTCTTATTTTACTTTTTCCCATCTTGCTTTAACTTTCTAGACTTCCTTAGGAAAAGGAGTATACCAGTGGGCATATCCAAACAAATTTAGAACCTGTTTCTGAGATTTAATTCTCTTTAGGTCCCCATTAGGATGGACTATAAAGAATGCTGCCCACAGAAGGTTTTCACTTTCTCAAATCAGTCAAGTTCTTAAACTGTAAAGGTGGATGCTAGCTGAGAAGATGTAGAACTTTTTCTAATTTCTTTTTAATCATCCTTATAGTCCCTTTTCTTAACCCCTTATTTGACTCTGTTTTCATTTTTCCACATTTGCTGGCACTGTCTTGAGTAGATTTTGGCCCCAAGACCATGTGACTTATTTTTGGATTCCAGTGGGGTATTTTCACCAAAGAAGGTTGGTTTTTAAAAAAAGATTTTAGAAATACTAGAATTAGGTGAAGAAGATTTTTAGAAAATGTTTGTATTATTGAATGTCAGTAATTTTAATTTTTTCGTTAAGGTAAGGACTAATAAACTAAAGACAATAACTGGGACCATGCAAGAACTGATGGAAATTGTAGAGGGAAATGGCAGAGGGTGTGGGGACATTGTAATAAAAGTAAATTAAGACTTAAATCTTTCTTGAGATTTTTGCCCAGGCATTTACAAAAATTAACCCATCTGGAGAATCAGCCTGTCATAATTTTTCCTTGTGGTGCTTTGACCTTATCAAGAATTGGGTCTCGTTTTTTATCCCAGACTCATATTTTAAGTAGAATGTATTAGTGCGGGGTGGGGAGGCCTGAATAGAATGTTTTCTCTTTACTGTGAAATTGTGACTAGGAATAAAAGATGTCCCTCTTCAGGCAGTATAGAGAATTGGAGAGGCCTGACCTGTAAGCCCCTGTTGTTGCCACAGCCTTCTCATGGTGCCGTGCTCTGAATTCATAATCTGTAACCTTTTTCAGACCCCACATCTTGTTAACCTCAATGAAGACCCACTAATGTCTGAGTGCCTGCTTTATTACATCAAAGATGGAATTACAAGGTATATTGGTTTCTTATTTTGGTCACTTTAATTATTATATTTTCCTCTTAGATGATTGAATAACTTAAGGGAAATGGTTTGTTGTAGATTTGTTATTTTTCCTGTCTAAAGTAGTTATGAACTATTCTTTTTTTTTTATTTTTATTTTTTTTATTTATTTTTTGCACACTCAGGACAAGGGAATGAACTATTCTTTCTACTCTTTCCAGATATGTAAATGTTTTAGTCAGCTGAGCCAGTTAATGTACTTTTTCTCTAAAAGACCCTAAATAAATTTTTTCCTTTTAACAACTTAAATAAATTCATTAGGGAGTTTATTTCACTTATGTCTTTTTATAATGCTATATGAGTTATATTGGTGAGTCATTGCTCCTTGGTTTCTTACTCCGATATAGGGAGGCTGATCATATATGAGAATAGAATTTGCAGTCAAAAGCTTCTGATACAAAAAGGCAATACCTTTTTTGTATGTACCAAAGGATATTCTTTGGGAGAAAGAGGGTCATTGTTTATAGTGCTTTTTGTGTCTGAATTTCCCTGGGAAACACTTTCTCTTGTGTTCAGGGTTGGCCAAGCAGATGCTGAGCGGCGCCAAGACATAGTGCTGAGTGGGGCTCACATTAAAGAAGAGCATTGTATCTTCCGGAGCGAGAGAAGCAACAGTGGTGAAGGTAAGAGTTTCTGGTTTGAGCTTTTCCAACAACTTTTTCTTTCTATATTATAAGAAATCCTTCAGACTTGCTATTCCTCGTCTCTCTGTCAGTGGTACTTTCTTGTACAATCTAATATGGAAAAATGGAGAAACCTGGGTTGCTTATAAATGCAGGGATGGACATAGCTACTTTACATGAAAATAGCCCGGACAAAAGGAGCCCTTTTGTTACTGCCAAGAACTGAGCAGGACGTAGGCAATTAGGCTTGGTCTTGAATGTTAATTATTTAATAGAAAAGTAAGAAAAGAACAAGTATCCTGGGTAATAGGAGATTTGAATGACCTCAAGTCTTAACACAATAGAATTTTATTTTTATCAAAAAGAGAAGAGAAAGTAAATCTTGATTTTTGCCTATGTTAATAAGACAACAGCAATCTAAGGTATTCTAGTATAATATAATTCACTCCTTCCTTAGTCAAAATATTAGCTTTTTAATCTTCAGTTTATTGTTATTATCTATATCTCATAAGATTTCTGATGGTTTTCAGTTTTATTGATCGAATTGTCAGATATCACCAAAATTAATAATTCCTGTCTTCTTCTGAGGTTTCTCAAATTCAATTAAATATTTCTGTCTTTGTAACCATGAATTTTAACAGTCAACAGCTTTCCGTTATTTGGTGCCAGTGGTTCGTGATAACAGTAGTTTGTGTTCCCCTTAGTTATCGTGACTCTAGAGCCCTGTGAGCGCTCAGAAACCTACGTAAATGGCAAGAGGGTGGCCCAGCCTGTTCAGCTGCGCTCAGGTGAGACTGGGAGAGGTTTGACATCTTCAGCAATGTACACATGGCTTGTGTGAGCAACTTTTGGACGTGTTGTTTAAAGCCTGAACTGATAGCATTAGGATTTTTGTTCTTACAGAACTCCAAAAACTATCTTTTTTGCATTAGGGAGAGTAAAGTTACTAAGCCAGATACCATGTGTTTAAAAAATGACTTCTTGGGGGGCGGGTATATACATACATAATGAGTGAGATGTGCACCATCTGGGGGATGGTCATGATGGAGACTCAGACTTTTGGGGGGAGGGGGGGAAATGGGCATTTATTGAAACCTTAAAATCTGTACCCCCATAATATGCCAAAATCAAAAAAAAAATTAAAAATAAATTTTACTATTAAAAAAAAAATGACTTCTTGCCGGGCGCGGTGGCTCATGCCTGTAATCCTAGCACTTTGGGAGGCCTAGGCGGGCGGATTGCTTGAGGTCAGGAGTTCGAAACCAGCCTGAGCAAGAGCGAGACCCCGTCTCTACTATAAATAGAAAGAAATTAATTGGCCAACTAACATATATAGAAAAAATTGGCCGGGCATGGTGATGCATGCCCGTAGTCCCAGCTACTCGGGAGGCTGAGGCAGTAGGATTGCTTGAGCCCAGGAGTTTGAGATTGCTGTGAACTAGGCTGATGCCACGGCACTCACTCTAGCTTGGGCAACAAAGCGAGACTCTGTCTCAAAAAAAAAAAAAAAATGACTTCTTAATCCCATTCTTGTTTTGTGCTAGGAAACCGTATCATCATGGGTAAAAACCATGTTTTCCGTTTTAACCACCCTGAGCAAGCACGAGCTGAACGGGAAAAAACTCCTTCTGCTGAAACCCCTTCTGAGCCTGTGGACTGGACGTTTGCTCAGAGAGAGCTTCTGGAAAAACAAGGAATTGATATGAAACAGGAGATGGAGAAAAGGTAATAACACAAATATTATGCAGCCCACACGACTGTCTCCTCTTTTAAACATATAGGAGCATTCATGAAACATGATTTCTCAGTTTACTCCTTTTGTTTCTTTTTTTTCTTCTAGGCTACAGGAGATGGAGATATTATACAAAAAAGAGAAGGAAGAAGCAGATCTTCTTTTGGAGCAGCAGAGACTGGTAGGAGTCCATCCTGAGTCTGCTACCTGTTAGGAAAAGGGCAGCTTATTCCTATACCTTCCCTGTTGCACAGATGAGCATTTGCCCAGATTGCTTCTCTCATTGATACCACATGCTATTCTTTCATTTCCTTAATGGAGAAAGAACTTAAATTTCCTGGTAGCCTTAGCTTGAAAAACTGTCCATAAGGTACTATTTTGTGCCTTTTTATGTCTTAAAATCAAATCTTTACTTTTGTCACAACCAACTACTTTTTGAGAAAATAGAGCTTTTCCGGTAGCCTTTGCCTCTTTATAGTGGTCTTGGAATTTGCATCAGTGGTGGTTCTTTTAATGATAATTACTCTGAATATTGAATTTGATGGGAGTTTGCCTTGGTTTTGTTTCTGATCACCTGATAGTACTAATTCTCTGCTCTGGGGCTGACTCGGGTATTGTTCTTATGCTGGGCAGATTTTTTTTTTTTTAAGTTAAACTGTGTCTAAAAGTGTTGCTGCACAGTTGCATGTGTTAATCCTTCTCTGTTCCCCTGCATGGAGTCTGAATTCTCAACCAGGTTCTCAGTGGCATGTGTGGTGGGAGTGGGAGCAGGGGCTGCATAGCCAGCTCAGACGGGAGAGGAGGCCTGCTTCTTTTAGCTCAACAGGGGGTTTGGGTGAGCAGCCAGAAAGTCAGTTTAAGGTCCCAGCTGTGATACTCATGGCTTTAGCATTTTATGATGTTAATTGATTTCCCAGGTTTGATAGAAACTGAATTTCATGAATTAATAAGTTGATCTGTTAGATTTTCATTTTTAAATCCATCCAACTTTGGTTAACAAAGCTGTGGTTATAAGAGGCTTCTTGGCATTCATTTGATATGTGAGAAAAACATATACTAACCTTTGGGTACTGTGGATACACTTTAGGAAGTTCCCATTTTTTAAGATTCACGGTCTTCTTTAAAGATAAGGGGGCATTAGAGAGAAAGCTGAGGCACTGGCTCCTTGCCTCAGCATAAGATGACAGCCTTTTGGTCATGCTCTATACTTTGGAGAAGAAGGGGCTATTGCTAAATGTGCCAGAAAAGCCAAGGTCTTGAGCAAAAGCACCCTTTTCCAGGTCAGCTCAGATCTCAGGCTTGGCCATGTGTTAAACCAGTTAGTTTGCTATCTTGAAAATTATAGTAAAGCCCCAGAAAGAATGGATTGTAAAAATAAATCAAGTGTTTGGGTCAGGGTAATAGCAGTGTTACAGATAGTCTCTTTACGAGGCGTACTTGGCATTTAGTTTTTAGTGAAAAGAGATCTAGCTACATTGTGATTAGGGGCTTGAAAGATTAAAGACACATGAAAGAGCCTTTTATCGTAAAAATGTAGTATAATCTAATAACATGCTTCTGATGATCTGTGAGAGATCAAACAAGGACAGGTGTAATTAAGCTCTATTTATTATTAACAATAGCACCTTATATTTGTATAGTGCTTTATAATCTACAAGGAACTTTAATATCTATCATTTTATTTGATCCTTGAAACAACTCTCTTTGGTAGGTGTGTATATAAGTAAAATGTGTAATGTTACCTCCAGTTTATAGTTGAGGAAACCAAGACTTAAAAACTGCTGTCAAATACCTGATATTATGGGTCCTAGGCTTAAACTTGGGTTTTCTGACTTGCTTCGGTATTATGTCTTTATAGCATTGCTTCTCAACCACCTCAGTCTTGTTGAAATGTAAATACTGATTGAGTAGGTCTGTGTTGGGATCTGAGATTCTGCATTTCTAACAAGCTCCCAGATGTGCCAGTGCTGCTGGTCCTGGGACCATACTTGAGTACCTAGATATAACAGTAAAAGGATACTCTCTATAACAAAGAATTGGTGATCATTCTATGCCCTAAAATAAAGATGGTGGCCATTAAATAAAGAGAAAGCAAATGTCTGTACGTCATGTTTAGTTTCTAGGGACATACATAGCCTGCAGACAAATGAGGTTCTGATGGTCATTTGCTCTGTGTATCTGAAAGCAAACTAGGATTTCAAGAGCAACTCCTTAAAGCAAGGAAGTTGCTTTCCTTCCCAAAATCCAGCTTTCTATCCCACTTAAATTTCTTCACCTCAAGAGGAACTGATTTCTAATACTTTAGCCTGAAGAGTATGTAACTGCCAATACTGAGTGGAAAACAACTTTTTATTACCCTGTATTGGTCAACCAACAGGTATATTTCTAATGCACTCTGTGAATAAACATTGAGAGGATACAAAGGAATTATTTTTCAGTAAATATTTAATATCTATTTTATGTAATCATTTTTACCTAATGAAAGCATTAAAAGATGGATTTTAGTCAGGGTTACAGTGAGCTATAATCAGCTGTACTCTCTAGTCTGGGCAACAGAGCAAGACCCTGTCTCTTAAAAAAAAATGGAATTCAGGCTCACAAGTTTTCTATTGTAGTTCCCCAAATGTATTTTTATGTTGCTGAGCATTCCTTAGAGTTAGTACTCTATTATTATATAGCTGGTCTTTTCTGTGCTTGCTTTTTGTACTCCATTGTAGGTATCTTCTCTCTTATTTGCATAAGTTCCTTGCAGAGTCTCTTCAGGAGGCCCACTTTGCGTGTGGTATTTAATGAAAACAGAATGATCATTTAGTGACATGTGAATTGCCTGACTTCAGTAGTTTTTCCTTCCCTGTAATAAATGAATCTAAATATCTTTAAAAAAAGTTTTTTTTGGACATGAGATAGGGTTTACATCTTGGCACATAAACTTTAGATACAGAGTTTTTAGTATTATGGTCAGTATGTGATAGAGTGATACGTTTGAACTGTAAAGAGAACATATTCCACAGAATCAATATGGCAGTATTTTAAAAAGCAAGGAAAATTATGGCAGCTTGATTTGATTTTTGTTTTTTAGATTTATGCAGAATCTCTCATTTACTTATATTTTATTTGATTTTATTTTTAATTTTTTTTTTTTTTGAGACAGAGTCTCACTCTGTTGCCCTGGCTAGAGTGCCATGGCATCAGGCTAGCTCACAATAACCTCAAACTCCTGGGCTCAAGCAATCCTACTGCCTCAGCCTCCCAAGTAGCTGGGACTTACAGGCATGTGCCACCATGCCTGGCTATTTTTTTTTTCTATATATATTAGTTGGCCAGTTAATTTCTTTCTATTTATAGTAGAGATGGGGTCTCGCTCTTGCTCAGGCTGGTTTCGAACTACTGACCTTGAACAATCCGCCCGCCTTGGCCTCCCAGAGTGCTAGGATTATAGGCGTGAGCCACCGTGCCCGGCCTACTTATGTTTTATTTTAGAGTTTGTCTCTCAAGCATAATATTAAAACAATGATTAGAATATTTGTCATTGCCTAAATTAGGTAATATTTATTTAACATTGGTTTATTCGAAGTGGTTGAGCAATTTTAAGAGAAAAAGATAACCAGGGAAAAAAGTGATAGTTGTCAGTTACATGGGAAGAATCAAAGGGAATTTATTTATGTTCTATAAAACTCAGTTTATATATATTTGTAAAAAAAAAAAAAAATCTTTTCAGGAATTGGGCATACTTTTCCCCTAATATTTATTAATGTCATCTTTTATCACTTAAGATTAGCCATTCTGATTTTTAAAATTAAAAATGAAAAGAAAAAACAGTTTAGGGTCTGTAAATTTAGCTTTGGTTTCTTTGTTGCTAAGTTTTTAGGTATATAGGCGTTACAGATGGGTTTAGTGCCAATTTAATCAACAGAAATAATATAGATCAGTTACTACTTTAAATCCAAAGACCAAATTATTGTCATTATTGTTTTGTTTTTTATTTACCGGGCAACTCTCTAAGTCAGAATATTGTCATTATTGTTGAAGGTTATTGTTGTGTAGTCTTGAAAGTGAATATACGTGAAAATCTTTGGTCTAGAAAGGAAAATACTATTTATCAGTTTCAATTCCTTTAAAAAAAACAAAAACAACCCTTCTAGAGATATTTTTGGCAATCACAGGTAAAAGGGACTATTAAAGTAACAATATTTTCTTTACTAGATTGCCTTGAACTACTCATCTAATGAGTATTTTCTTTCCCAGTAACTTTTATTGTCTGAATAGAAATTCTTAATCTTTTCCATTATATGGATTTCGTAACAATCCATGGTATCAGTATTTGCTTGTGTTAATTAAGAACGATTGATTGTTATCCAAATAGCCCTTGAAACTACATTGTTGTGAAGTCAAGGCTTCTATTATAGGCCTAAGTAAAGTTTTTAGAGAAAGGTAAGGGTGCAGAGACAGACAGCTGGAAAGACAGAGTTAGAGATGCCTTTTAAAGGAGACCCATTTTACACAAGCAGAATATAATCTTCATGTTTATTGGAAAAGTTGTTGCTTCAAGTAGTAGTGTTTAAATGGCTAGAAAATGCTATGTGCTTTCTAGATAGAAAACATCTTTAAATTGCATTTATTTCCCATAAATATGTCGAAATTAAAAAAATTGCATTTATTAAAATATTACTTGGAATTTTAAATTATTTGCCTAGCTTAATTTTTGTTCTGGTTAATTTATTTCTCAGAATTTTGGAGGTGAGGTATTTATTGGCTTAACAGTGTGAAAAACAAAAATAAAACACACATTATAAGGATCCTTTTTTAATACTTCCTTGTTATCTGGATAACAAACTTTAATTGAACAATTGAAATGGATTCATTTAACATGACAAAAGAAGATAGCAAATCCCATATTTGCTCATGGAAAGACTAGTTTCAAAACGCTCTTGTCTTATAGAAAAAAAATCTGATTGATAAGAACCTCACATGTTCTGCTAATAGAGATTCTTAGCACTTTTAACATCATCCCTGTTTGACTGCTTCTTTTTCTACATTCTCATCTTCTAACTTTTTTCTAGGGCTGCTCTTTTTAGTAAAGCTAAACATAACTTGGTGTCCTACAGCCTTACTAACCTTTGTTAATCCACCTGCTCGTCACATCTTTGTATGGCATCTGTGCTCACTCGTGGGGGAAAGAGA